GTGCGCTTTCCTCACATCATACTTCACTCCACTTCCTCGTAGCATAACACCCGAAAAGCCGAGATTTTTCGCATCCTCTGCGGTCACTATTCCAATATCAACCGTTCGGCTCTGAAATATGCAAAAACGTATACAATCCAGTGGCACATGGACGCCACTCATATTTGTACGCAGATGCATCTACACTTTCAGCGGAATGAAGGCAATGACGTACGAATGCAAAATGTGAATGATAACGGAAGTGTGTGCTGATGCTGTTTATGGCAGATGGCGCTATAAAAAGAGATAGCGGAAATAAACATCTAGTAAAACAAATCTGGTAAGCAGGAGGCAATAAGAAGCTTTGGAGACAATTGGTGCATCCAGCATATCATCGTGATTTCTGATTTCTTCGCTCGGATAAAACTGACCACCATTCAACGGGGTTTTGGAGGGATGCTGCGGGCGTAAACCGAAAAAAAGCTGCTAACAGTGCTGACTACTGAAGCTTAGGAAAAAGGAAAACAAAAAAGAGGGCAGCTGGAGAGGAGATTGAAGCTCTCTCATGAAAATGATCAAAACAGTAGCAAATCACAACTGCATTTTCAAAAAAAAAATACATAGCAACGCGAACCAGACTAGCCGGTGCGATCATGCGTTTTGTGCAATTCAGCCCATCGAACGATTGCCTATTAATGGTTTTCACTGCTTTGTACTTTAGTCCATGCAAAAATAATTGAAACATTGGAAAATAATTAGAAATTTCACGCACTAGCGCATGAAAGCTGAATTCGAAACATTAAAAGATGAATATCTTTCCGTGATCCCCGAGTTAATAGTTTACCCGCCAAAATTTTCACGAGGCCGTACGTGACATTCAAGAGCGAGGGAACGCTGAATTTGAATGGGCAAGGTTGAGCATGGGCAGGGGGGCATCACCCTACAATTTCAGCCCCCTAGACTCCCTGGTTCACGAGATGTTAACTTACCCGTGAGAAACTTTGGCCGCGGGTAAGGGAAGGCTGAATTTGAATTTGCCGCGTCATCCGTTGGCGGGGAACACTATACCAAAATTTCAGCC